CATGAAGCGGCCCTAGCATCATGTTCTTAATCACACATGCTAGATGCAGCCACCTTCATAAAGCCCTGCCTAGGACTGCATGAGGTTTTTGGAAGACCTCTGGATAAAACCATATCAACATCTTATAGTCGTATATATTCTTTAGCCACTATACCCGCTGGGCCATGTGGGCCATATGTTCTGACACTGTATTATAGCTTACTGCTTACTAGGCAGTATCAGGCTAGATAGAACATAGAGTTTTTAAAATTACAACCATGTCTTAATCGTCTTGATCCACCCAAACCTACTTGGTGCAACTATTGCATAGTAAGTAAGGAATATGCTGAACTAAGTGTGTTTACAAGTAGCAAACAACACAGTTCTTGCCTCTGGTACTGTGCATCTACTAAACTCTTACTCTTAGTACTTGACATGTATTCACTTCATACAACTGTTGAGTAAAGAAGGAGTTATTGTTCTTATTTCACTGAAGATGAAAGCACAGACGGGCTGCATTATTTGCTTGTGGTAGGTGGTTAGTGAGCTAACCCGAGGCTGTGTGACCCAGATGTTTTATTTTTTATCATGTGGCTGAGAAGTTTCCAGGTTAAAGATACAGAAAGAGAGAGAGAGAGAAAGAGAGAGGGAGGGAGGGAGAGAGAGAGAGAGAGAGAAAAGACACAATGTCCAAGGAACCCCTTGTGAGGCAGCAGCAAGAAGCCCCAGAGGAGGAGCCACTTACAAGGCTGTTTCTCCTGCACGACAGTACCTGTCTACCTCACACAGAATAGATTGGTTATAATAGGTCCCCACCAATGTAATGTGTCCATCACCTCTCTGCATGTCACAGCCAAAGAGTATCCAGGACATGTGGAGAGGCTGACAGACACACCAGGACAGAAAGCCCACAGAATGGATTTCCTCTGCCCACCTTACCTTACCAAATACAGGTTTGGTGCAGTGCGGCTGCCTGTAGCCTGTCCCTTCCAAGCAGGACCCACAGAGACTTAGAGGCTACAGAGTCTTGAGGAACCAGAGACTTCCTGAGATCAATTAGCTCTACTGTGGTAATCCTTGTCTTTCCACCTCCTGTCTGTGCATTTCTATACAAGTGCTATCTGCTTCACCTTCAGCCAAGACAGGTTTTATAACTAAAGAGCTTTCACCCTCCACCCCAGTTGAGGCTCTCGTTTCCTCCCCCAGGCTCTGGCTGATAGAATTGGCGTTGGCTGCTCTTTGGTTCGAGGAGAGTATGGCCGTGCATGGAATGAGGTGAAGCTGCTGGACCTGTCTCGGAAGGGGGTGACCGGGTGCCTCCCTGCACCAGACACCTACATTGTTGACCTCATGTTCAATCCTGGGGAACTTTTGGAGCTAGGAAGCAAAGAGGCCAATCTCTACCAGTTTATCTAAATTAAGTCTTCCAGTTAAGCCTTTAAATAAAAGTATTAGATGGGTTCAACCTGTGTTTGCTTCTGATTTCAGGCTTGTGGCATGAGTTCAGGGTTTTGTTGGGTCTTTCTGGGCCTGTCGCAGGGATGAAGGTTACTATGGCTGAAACCAACCCAAACCACTTCTCTTGAGTTTATCTATCACATAGGAATCTTGTGTGCAACACTCACCTGTGGCCGCGGGACAGTCCTGTGGCCTTGTCGCTGTCCTCCTTCATGCACACAATGCTTTAGGAACACTTGGCTAAATAAACTCAGTGTGTTTTTCATGTCTTCAATTGCCTGAGTAAGGTTTCAGCAGTTTAATATTTATAGCTCTATGTGACTATTGCAGATTCCTTTCTAACATTTCTTTT